TAGTAGACCTTAAACACGTTTTTACACGGCGAAGCGTACTTATTTTTCTTATACCACAGACCAAGATCCGTGTCTATATAAATAATAATAATATATATAATAGTATAATAATTATAATACATGTATCGTCGTCACGGAAAAGCCAGGGGAGGGACATGTCCCCCCTTGCCCTCCCCAATGGACGCCCTTGGGTTCAGGTATTTATTTGTTAGATAGCAACAGTTTTCGAACTAAGACTCATGCAATATTGTGATGATTTTGGTAACTAAATTGACAATTTTGAGACAACATTTTAGTTTTGAATAAGTGATCATAATCTAAAGTTATTAACTTAATTACGGTTATAGGTTAAGCGAATTCAATTTTGAACAAAGTCAACGAATAAAATTCAATTATTTTTGAATACACTTGAACTTAAATGCGATTTTATGCCATTGAGTTGTTTCAATGTTATTTTATTATTATTTTTTAATGACGCGTTATGGAATAAACAAATATACTATGTAGTATGTACAGTATCAAAAATGATACTGAGGAAACTAAAAAAAAATCAAAGATTCCAAATGTTGGTACAATCACAGGTACCTACCATTGGTACCTAATGCCTATAATAGTTTCCAACTAATTTTTCCGTTACTAATAATATTTTCGTTGAATTGTAGTTTTCTGCTATTTATAATTCTTAAAATAATAACAAACGTCAGATGATTGGATGATAAGTTATACAAACAATTATCTACAGGTATTCCTCGATGAATCCAGAATAATAAAAAAAAAATGTGATAYTTTATCTTGATAAATAATGTTAAATCGTGAAACGTTGTATATTTTGGGTAGCGGGGCCATTATTATTATGAGTAGATAGGTATCAGTCGTGGGTGCGTCTAATGTAATTTGTCTGCTATGTGTTTGTGTCTATATATAATAATGTCACCACAAATGCGGTGAAATGTAGGTATAACAGTATTACTAGGACACATAATGTTTAGAACTACTTTTTAATTATTATAATAACACCACGCCAGCCGAATCGAAGTCATTATTAAACAATCTAGTATTCTACTGTACCTACCAGTGGTCGAAAGCCGTTTTTAAATTTCATTATAATAATTCAAATTACAATATAATGTGTAAGTAGGTGTATATATAGTAAGTATATTTTTTTATGTACCTACTAGGTAGGTATACTGTTCTTGGTTTGTAATTCAAAAAATATGATTATAATATATAAGTTTGTGGCCAAGTGGCCATATACGTTATTAATATATTATATACATATTATTAGTTTTCACTGTAAATACATCTATACTTATTACCTACTTATTGTATATTTAAAATTTGAAAATGTATTGACTGTATGTATAGACGTATTGCATTATATTACTATGTATGTGTCAGTTGAAAATTGAGAGAGTTAGTGGTCAGCTGTCGTATTTTTTTCACCCGACAATGCGTGTATGATCATTACTACTTTCTTGGCTTAAATAAATTGGTTGAATAATTTGGTGTCCAAATATCTTCCTCGTCACATAACCCAAATCATATAATTATACGTTCTTAGTGAGAATTTCATTTCACGAGAACGTATTTTGCCATTATCTGGCGATCTATGAAAACAAATATATATATATATATATTTTTTTTAAATTAGACGTACACAAATCTAGAAGAAAGGAGAATAATAATATGTGTATAAATAAAGAAAGTTGTTTAACTATGTAAGTAGCTATTTTTTTCAAATATTAAGGTCCTTAAAAAATAAGCGTTTTACAGTTGAAAGTTAAAAGTTAAATATTATAATATCATTATTAAAATAATTAGCACAGTAAAATCTACTCCAGGATTCAAAAAACATGTTATACAGTCTTATAGACACACTATTAGAGCTGCAGCAGTATTTTTATATCGTAGTACCTACTATCCATATTTATGCTTCAAAATAATAATTAAAATCATCAACTTATAGTTTACCTACTTTATACATACAACATAATTACATAACTATTATATTATAGGTACTAATACGCTATTAAAGTATCTAGGTATTGGGGAGGTTGAAGTCTTCTCTTTTAATAATATTTGAACATAGGTACCCCTTTAATTATATTCTAGTCAATAAGGTAGGTAGGTAGGTATATATTTAATTAGGTATCTGCAGTTACATACAATTCTTATAATTGTTGCACCACTGTACATTTTTTTTTCAAATTTAACCATTGGATGTATCCAATAATTATCATTTCAAAATGTATTTTATGATTATATTTTAATGGTTTATTTTCCTTATCCTTGCAAGTTGCATAACCAGATTTGCAATATACTATAAAACACTTAACCAT